AAATAAATTTAAACATTTTAATAATACAATATTATTGTAAAAAAAAAAAAAAGTCGTATGAAAAGAACTCACCCCCTATATAGATGAAAAAAGTAAGTGGATTAGTTAGAATTTAGGGATTGGAACCGCCTAAAATTTTTCTTAATCGTTTAATCGTTTAACCGTTTAATTTGGCCGGCATTAAAATAATTCCAGCTCATGACCAACATAATTCCGCCCGGAACTATGGACCAATTTTTAAACGGTTAAACGGTTCCAATCCCTATTAGAATTAACGTTCGATAGGGCATTGATTTGTATCATTATTTACTGTAAAAAAAAAAGTTGTATGTAAAGAACTTACTTGCTGTAGAAGTGACAAAAAAGTAAGTGGATTAGTTAGAATTAACGTTCGATAGGTCATTGATTCATATCATTATTTACTGTAAAAAAAAATGTCGTATGTAAAGAACTTCCAAACTATATAGGTGACAAAAAGGTAAGTGGATTAGTTAGAATTAACGTTCGATAAGGAATTGATTTGTATCATTATTTACTGTAAAAAAAAAAAGTCGTATATAGAGAACTTACCTCCTATATAGATGACAAAAAATAAGTGGATTAGTTAGAATTAATGTTCGATAGGGCATTGATTGGTACCATTATTTACTGTAAAAAAAAAAAAAAAGAAAAAAGTCGTATGTAAAGAACTTACTCGCTGTAAAAGTGACAAAAAAGGAAGTGAATTAGGTAGAATTAGTCATTATTTACTGTAAAAAAAAACGGTTTCGCTCATTTCACCAACACTCAATTCACCGACTTCTTGAACTCCCGAGATTAGACTACACTTGTAAAAGCCCACCTAATTAGTTAGTTAGTGCTAGAGAGAAATTATTTTGAGTTTGTGTATCTGTTAATTTCCTATTATATGAATTTGCTTCCTATTATATGAATTTGCACTATGATAATGGTAATGCAATTTGGCTATATATGGAAAGAATATGTGATACAAAAGGAAAACGTTTGTAAAATTTTACTCATAGTAGCAAAAATTAGCACTATTTTATATGAGCGCTACTTCTTAATTGCGCGACTAAACATAACCGAGATGAGAAGAAATGCGCTGCTCACTCGCTCAAAAAATTTTATCGCTCTTCGGACAACAAGCCTTTATATAAGAAAAAAAAAGTTAAATAGTGTTACAAATTTTTACTAAAAATAAAAAAAATAGCTATTGTGAAAATTTTATTGTACTACGTAATAAAAAAAAAATTAATACGTATTTACACACCAACTAAAAAAGGTTAATATGTTGAAAAAAATTTTTTGTAGAAAAAAAAATCGATCATCTCAAATAACAAATAAGTTAATTCATATATGCTTCGCCAAAACTGATACGTACGTACGTACAAATGATCTTATTATTCCTTTTTTAAATTAGATCATACTCATTATTTATCTAATTTAAGTAAAAATTCATACTATGCGAAATTCTCAATATTAAAGATATCCAAACAAAATCCAACTATACTATCTTTACAAAAATAATATTCGATATTCCATACACTTTGAATTTGCGCACATTGACAATATATAAACTAAATAAATATAACAATAATGATGTATAAATAACAATATAAGATAATGCTAATTCTACTTAGACAATAATGAAATATTTATTTATTTTCATGAACTATTTTATTATATACATTATTAAATAAATAATTACTTTATATCTGTTGAACTACATTAAAGCTATTAAGCTTTATTATTAATAAGCTTTCTAAGAATAATAGAATTCTCCAATTAATAAATAACATCATACGTATGATTCGTATTTTATGTAAGAAAAAAAAAACAAATTATCAAATCTGAATATGATATTATTATTCAATTGAAAATTCCAGAAATCCCAGAATAACTTATTCGTTAAATAAACCATCTCATAAAAAGTAAATGCAAAAAGTAAAAATCCGTAAAAGTAAATTTAATTTGATAAGCCTGATAACATCACCCTCATCTATCTTACGAATGAATTAATAAAAAAATAGAGCAAAAACTTACGTGTTTAATATTTTATCAAAAAAATTTAAGACTATACCATAAATATTTTAAAAAATTATTAATAAAAAAAAATATATATAAAAGCGTAAAAAACTTAAAAACATAACGTTAAATACCTTGATCTTCTAACATAATCATTGATCCATAAAATATGACTTCAGTCTTCAGCGCAAGTTCATATATCAAATGCTCTTCAAATGCCAACAAATATACTACCGGAACTGCTATATACAGAGCAGGAGAAGATGAATTTGTAGAATACAAATTCAAAGCGTTCCGCTCTGAATTAATTGAGGAAATTTGGGAAAAAACTATTGCATCAATTATTGGAAGATTTGCGATAGAAAATGATGAACTAAATGTAATAAACACATTAGTTAAAAAATATTAATATTAAAAGATAAAATTAACTTCTTCGTTCTGTTTAATACTAGATAACAGTTAATCAGTATATCCCTTTAAATATCTCTGCACTTGGTGACGAACTTATGATTTACGACCTCCCAGTTGCTCCAGCATTCGGAATATTTACAGCACCAGTACAAGATCCAGCTGTAACAGAAAATGATCAAGGAATTTTTAGATTAAAAAGAAATGTGTACAATGGAGTAACAGGAAAACAATCTCAAATGTCAATTCTATGTAAATACCCTCTTCATAACCGGCATGCCAACGTAGCCAAAGCAACAACACGAAGACCAATTTTTTCCATAGGTGGAGAGCTCATACCACTTACAAATTCAGCTTTTATTCTTTGTGAAACTATAGAATGGAATTATCCTCTTTCCTCGCCTACATCTCAATCAACCTCTGAAGTAAATGCCTATTCAAAACAACCTAATAAACGCAAGAGACAAGAACTTGAACATATCGCCGAAAAATTTAACACACACTCTAGCTCAACTTACTACAAAAAACAAACAATAAGAAACAAACCAGACAATACTCCAAACTCAAAAACCCCTAATTTCACTTCTGACTCAGCAAGAATTACTCAACTTCAAGCTACATTGGATCAAATGAGAGGTATAACTGCACCATAAAAAACAAATATTCATTTTTGCTTGTAAATCTAATCTCCTACTTAACTTATTCCTCGGATAACTTCAACTACAGGATATTCTTCAAATCAAAGCAATCAACCCACCCATACTGAATCCAATGAAGATAAAGGTAAAAAACTAGTTTATCACGATTATAATACAGACACAGTTCCATCTACTCCATCTACAAGCAACACTTCCGGTTATGACCAAGAAGATTCAAACGAAAATCAAAATTATTCTGAATCACCAACTTCTGAATAATACACATTATAAACTATTCAACCCATCTAAGAAAAATTTTTTTTATTACTTATATATTAATTAGCATATAATCTAAAAATAAATATAACTGTACCAAAGACAATATTATTTATATTAAATTGAAAATATATATACCTTTAATAAAAAAAATTCTTTGCTTAATAATAAAAATCGACTCTAACATTTCTAATTAAAATAATTAAAACTCTAAAATAAATAAATTTAAACATTTTAATAATACAATATTATTGTAAATTTTAAAAAAACTAAAATATACTGTACTATATATGATTAAATACTTATCATTTCATCTCTGTAATAATACAATTCTCATCTCGCGATCTTACTATATTTTACAACTAAAATAAATAATAAATTTAATAATACGATATAATTAAAATTTCAACAATAAAAATTTTATTAAAAAAATATCTAAAATTATTAAATTAAATATACTAAATCATTAAAATAAAAATATGACCCGACCAATCGCAATAAACTCTCTTAACTCTAATACAATAAATAAATTTAATAATACGATAAAAATTAAACTTTCAAATAAAAATCTTATTAAAAAAATATCTCAAATTATTAAATTAAAATATCACTAAATCATTAAAGTAAAAAGATGACCTACAAATTGTGATAAACTCTCTTAATTAACTTTAATAAAATATTTAAAAATGCAAACAATCGCTAATCCTAAAAAAGATAAAAAACGGAAAAACCTTGCACCTCATTATAATTACAATCAGCTATTCGCATTTAACCGAACTTTTATCGACCCAACTAACTGACGTCATATTTAAAATAGCACATTGTAATAGAAACTACATACCAAAATTAATACTCAGATTAATATCAAATGCTTTGCCGCAATATCTCGGTAATAGGCGACCTTAAATAACTATCTTCGCGTAAAAAAATAATAATCGAATACATAATCACAATAATATATTATACCTGATTTGTTTAATAAAAATTTTAACAAAAAAAATACTAACGCTGAAATAAACAAAATACCTCCTTATCACTAAAATCATAATCAATTATCCGCAACTTGCCGAATTCAAGACAAAACCTCATACTATTGCGACGCAATAAAATTTAAATTCCACAGAAACTCACTGATATTAATATCGACCCAATTTTTGTTTCTTGCATTTTTAAACACATTTAATTAAACTTACAAGTAAACCAGCGAAATAAACTTCAAACCTATTAAAATACAACATTATCAACATATATATGATGAGCCAAAATTATCTTAATACACAAAACCCCACTAGAGTAACACCAACTAACCCTGATTATTATTCTTCGCATATTTTTTTACTTTACATCCTGCGAAATGATATTAATCAAACACAAGCAAATGCTAATAATGAACCAACTTACCATAATACTCAACCGCACTCAAGACAAGAATTGTTATCCCCGTGGATACCTTCACCTAAATTACTCGCTCTACTTCATCAATTCAATACTAAGATCCTATATGACCACCCTCATATACCATGTTGTTATTGTTCAATATTAATGTTTGAATCAACAACACAGTGGATCACAGTTGAACCTAATGCACAATATACATTACCATTAGCATTTCCTGAAATACCTATACACGTAAATGCAAATAACACAAAAGTCGCTATTTGTGCCAGCTGCAAAACAAAGAAAACTAGAAGATTTCCACCAATATTATCTCAAATTCCTCCGGAAATTCAAAATGTACCGATGTATCACCGTAAATACTTATCGCCTATTCGCTTATTCTGCTCTTTAGGAAGAGCTGTCGGTTCCAATCCATATACAACATATCGATTTCTAAAAGGGGATATCTCCCTAAGTAAAAATCCACATGCTCTCCATTTATACTCCGGATTAGTTGGAGCATTTCTAGAATCCACTGACCATCTAATTGGTTTCATAATTTTTTACTAGACGCCAGTATGTGGCTCAAAGAAAACAATCCGTTATTAAACCGTTACAAAGACCTATATAACATTGCTATACCACGCTCAACAGAATCAATACCAACCCCTTTACCAACAGCCACACAAATTACTCCCACAAATTCTTACTCATCCAACTTACCACAATTAGTTGTTCCAAATCACTCTTTTCTACTCGAAACACATAACGAAGATTATAGATACACTAATCTGCTAGCCGGTATCATTAAACTAGATAACCGAAATTTTCCAATATCCTATAATGATAAAAATCTAGAAGCCATGATTTTTCCTGACCTTTTCCCTATGGGAAAAGGTCATTATGAAGATTTAATTGACAATCTTTTCGCTTGATCAAATACTGAAAGTTACGGTAAATATATCAAATTACGAATGCTTTGCCCTGATTCCCGCTTCAGACTCCATTGGTACTGGCCGTTCTGGTCTTACCTAAATATTGAAAAAAAAAAGAAACTTCCAAAATACTTGCAGACTATTAAAACAAAAAAATGTATCACGCCAAAACCATCCCACATGCACTGAGCTTATTACACATAGCATATACACTTATAGACCAATAATAAATGAATCAATAACAACCCCATTATCCACAAACTTACACACAGCCGCTCCCTTCTTTATAAAAAAACAACTACAAGTATATACTATGCTACGAGTATATGGCCTACCACAAATTTTCTACACACTTACCATGGCTGAGGATAAATAGTATCATTTACATTACATTTTATCAACAACCGACAATCATGATACCTTACCATCAAATCGCCCTTTACACACATACCTCTTTTACCATCATAAACTAAACAACCTCTATAACAAACTATGGAAAAACAAAAACTTAATAAGATGGGGAAACCTTGAAAACTATTTTGAACATGATGAGTTTCAAAACAGGGGAACAATTCATACTCATGGTTTTGCCTACACAGAAACCTCCATAAATGACCTTATTAAATGTGAATTTATAAGAGCCGACTTACCAGACCCCGTTACTGAACCACTACTGTACCAACTGGTATCTACCTACCAGATTTATAGGTGCCGTCCAGAATTATGCCAAGGTCCAGGTACTGACACAAACCCTTGCAAGAAAGGTTTTTCCCAACCTTTATCAATCACAACACATGTCAACTCCAGTTCTCTAAGATATACTTATAAACGTCTAAAGCAACAAGACCGTTGGGTAGTCCTCTACAACCCAGAAACCTTACTAATTTGGCAAGGTCATATAAACTTTCAGTACGTCACAACAAATGGGTTTGCAAAATATGTTACTAAATATGTAACCAAACCTGAACCTTCAGAACTTTTTACAGTCAGTGAACGAGATGACTACCGTAAACATATACAAGCACGAAGACTTGGCTCTATGGAATTAATGATATTATTATTACAGTATCAACTAACATGATCCACAGTCAACGTACATTACCTACCATCAACTCAACCTACCTAGTAGGTCTAAGACAATCTTCCAATTCAATCAATGAAATCTTGTGTAAAAATCTCCCCCT